TCTATAGTGTAAAATAGGAGCATGTATGTGATCATGATACATTTCATGTAAATAAAATAGCTTACTGAAGATTGTTCATGTACATATAACTGATCTATAGTGTAAAGTAGGTGCATGTATGGGATCATGATATATTTCATGTAGATGAAATACACTACTGAAGATCGCATGTAACTGAACCATTATATAAAATAGGATCATGTATGTGATCATGATACATTTCATGTAAATGAAATAGCTTACTAAAGATTGTTCATGTAACTGATCTATAGTGTAAAATAGGAGCATGTTTGTGATCATGATACATTTCATGTAAATGAAATAGCTTACTGAAGATCGTTCATGTAACTGATCTATAGTGTAAAATAGGTGCATGTATGGGATCATGATATATTTCATGTAGGTGAAATACACTACTGAAGATCGCATGTAACTGAACTATATTGTGCAATATGATCATGTATGTGATCATAATGTATTTCATGTTGGTGAAATGCATGACTGAAGCTCTATGAGCTATAGTATAAAATACAGTCACGTATGTGATCATGATATATTTCACGTCGGTTAAACTCATTACTGAAACTGATTAAGTGATTCATATTCGTAGTATAAAATATGAATATGTATGTAAGAATGGTACACTCGTATTCATGAGGTTGATGTAGGTACAATTTACTTCAAAATACAGAAAATTATTTGCCAGTAATCTTGGTGAATTAATTGCCATAATTTGACTGAAATTAACATAATTAATGATTCTAGACCTGTATCGTGCGTACTGATTATCGATCTTAAAACGTGAAATTTCTAGCAATACCATCGAAGAACTTATTAAGCACGACATAGTTTAGAAGTCTCGATCATATTAGTAAAATACTATATGACTAGTCCGGTAGTGAAGAAAGAGTCGGTTGAATCACGACTCTGTATAAATTTTACAGCTTTATAAAAAAAAAGAGTTCAAGTGTGTAGCAGGGCCTTCTACATTCAATAGAAAAACGAAAATATAATTTTGTATTGTTCAACTCAATCATCTTAGGCCTTCTGTTGTAAGAAGTAAACATCGCGGCAGAACTCCCGATACCATCCACACCATCTGGATGATTGGCGGTCCACCACTGTGCGATTTAGATGATGTTTTCTTCCTCGCACGACTTCCTTGTGGAATCGATTACCATCAGCGATTTTTCCGGACCGATACGACTTAGGGACCTTCAAGAAAAGAGCGTACTCCTTTTTAAAAGGCCGGCAACGCATCTGCAATTCCCTACCTGGTGTTGCAGTTGTTCATGGGCGGCGGTAGTCACTTACCATCAGGTGAGCTGCATGCTCGTTTGCCCCCTCTCCTATAAAAAAGGGTAATAATTATATTCTGATGATAGTAGAAGGTTTCATAAAATATGATGAGAATTTCTTTTTACGAACCCCACCAACAGTCCTTTAAGTATTAGATATAACGTTTAGTATTCATTTTTGTTTCGTTCCTACAAGAATGGTTACAGATCGTGACACTGCTTTTACGTCTTTTTAAGGCATTTTGTTGTTCTAACGTGATTAAACACTTGTTGAACGCAATAGTATACTTCGATCTAGGTCTGGCCGAAAATTTTACATACTACTAGCTCACCAGGCAGACGTTGTTCTTCCCTCTCCAACAATCCTGTGTCCTATGAAAATTCTTAAATTCGTAATAAAAAATATTGAGGGTCACTTATAGGGATAAAAACTATCATATCTCTCAAGTTGGACCAAACTGCACACAGTGTGCAAAATTTCATTGCAATCAGTTCAGTAGTTTAGGAGTTCATCGCGGACAAACAATGTGACACGTAATTTTTATATATAAAGATTATAACAGGCCTAGCAACGCAACAATTCAATAATGACGAGCGCGATAGGATAAACATACTGTAAGCAAAGTTCAATGGGGTATTAATAGTACCGTGAATGCAGTTATGAAGAAAACCTCTTCGGAATTGTTAGTCAGTATAGGACTTGGAAGTGACACTGATAATATACTGGGTGTTATTGTTAGTGAACGGAAAATCTCTTCAGCAGATGCAGAGATGCAGTCACATAGGAAGCATGCAGGTTAAATACAAAAGTGAGTCAAGAAAAGAATACAGAAAGTTATAATAATAACAGATTGCCTGCTAGAGCATATGATGAAAATTAAATGTTGTTCATATTACAACAGTTACTTTTAATTATGGTGGAAAGAGTTTAAAATTAATGTCGAATTTATAGGCCACTTTCAAATAGTAAAAGAATTTTAATATCTCTTTATAGTTTTTAAAACTTCGAAAATTTTAATGTATGTAAAAAAATCGCATTTTACAAGGAAATTCAAATGTCATGATAATTGTGGAATGCGTGTCGCCGGAGCTAGACCCGCTAGTCCATTGCCGAATGTCATTATTTTAGATGTTAAGTTTAGAAAATTATTTATTACAGTTAGAAACACTGTTTTTTGAAGTTTATGAGGAAAATTAGTTAATATAATCATGTATATGGTTTAAAAGAAATTATTGCCGTAAACACAATTTCTTTAAAATAAGAAAGGAGAAGGAGACGTCTCCATACATTCTTGGGCCCAAGTGTTACCAAGATGAAAGTTGGACTATTTGAAAGTGTATATATAAACAATTCATAGCTAAAAATCTGGCAAGATTTGTCAATCTAGGAGCTGAGTTATTGTAGAATAAGTAAAAGTGAGATTATCTATTACCTACACAGTAACAGGTCATTTTTCACTATTATTACACTGTAACAGGCTTTTTTTTTACTATAATTACCTACTTAAAGATATAAAAGCAGGATCAGTATAAAATCACCAAAAAAGCTGTGGTTAGTAACGAAACGAAATGGTAAAACTTTTAACGAAAGAACTAAGTGAAGTGAAGACTAAGGATATCGATCTGAGATCGTTTATTTGAATTGTTGTTGCAACTGTTACTTGTTGGAATTTTGATAATTTGTTTTTTTTTTATTATTATTTTGTAGATATGTACGCAATTTTTTATTTCCCTAGTTACCACAGGAAAACAATCGAAAATAGATATTAAAATGCTCAATTTAATCGAGAATCAATTATATTGCGCTCGTTTCAAATCGAATAGAAAATCTGTCCTTTTCTTATAAGTAAATAGTTTGAAGTTTAAAATGTCAAGTCGTTTCAAAATGAGCAGTCCTCTATTGGAAGATAACGTTCAGAAAGGAGAATTTCACTAGTGTATTCTTCATGGTAATCGATTTATTGCCATAATGAATACACTACAATCTATTTTCTAACTTATTTCTTATTTTATTGTTTTTTCAAATCTAGATTGTAAAAAGAGCTACTTTTTTGTATTTTACTTAAGAAAAATATGGCCAATTTTTTAAAGTATAAACAATTAATATTTTTATATAATTATTTTTAAAGTATAAAAATTAGTTTTATTTATTTAGTTCACAAGGTTTGCTTCCGGTCTGTTACGCACCTGTTCGCCACGAGTTAGAGAGGGAGAAATAAGCGAGTCTACTGGGAGCAGATTCATTCTATTGGGAGCTTTAGAGTTCAATGTATTAATCAGTCGATACTTGAATTTAAGTTATTATATTTCTATATTATCTTTAAGTCGTCGAATATGAATTAAAGATCTTAAAAAAAAGGTTACAATTCTATTTTGATTTTGAAATCATTTTGGTGGATATTCATTTAAAGTTCTATAAAGTTTCATTTTAAAAACACAAATTATTTTAAAAATGGAAGAACTTTTAACTATATTTTTATTGGGTTTAATTTTGCTTCACATTACTCCATTAAGTGTTTCAAAAAATAATGACTATTGTGGTATAGATTGAAGGAATATTAACAAGAATTACGTTTATTTTTATGTCTTAAATATTTTGAATTGATGTTCCCAGTACTAATAAATGACTGGTGGTGTGGAATGCTAATTATGTAGCATGCACTTAAACGTCTTTTGTGTGTTCAACAGTTTTATAAGTTCGATTGATGGTTTCGATTACTAAGTACATAGGAAAATACTCTTGTGAATACCGCTTCATTTTTCTTAGTTTCTGGCTGGACCCACCTTACAAAAATGCCACTTCATAAAATATCCGTTTACAGTTTAATATTGAAAAAAATTGGCATAATTTTTACATATTTTTTAATTAAAGCCAGTGGTATTGTTGCCATTACTTGTTCCCTCTTGGAATTAATTTACAGTAGCAACACAATAATTTATAATTACTTTTGATTTTTTTAAATCAAATCAATCGGTGAGTGGTGTAGGTGTAGAGGTGTAGCTACGAGTACCTACAAACACATTGACCTAGAAGGCTGTGACTGGGTTTCTGCCCGTGAACCGGGAAGTGCGCTCAAGGTTAGAGCAACGCATGCGCCCTGCATCCCCCTGTCGAAGGCGTAACATTGGATCGACGTCTGGCTGTTTCAATTTACTTATTGAATAATTGTATTATAAAAAATAATTCAAAACATTATAAAGACTTATTAGTATTTAGATACTTTTATATATTTTAAAATAGTTTGGATTAAAATTTTATATAAAATCACTTGTTACATAATAATGCTAATTATTACTGATTTTGAAATAACATATTGAAACATATTATATATATAATTAAAAATCTTAAAAACTTTTTCAATTAGTGTTAAATTTTAACTTCTTCTGTTTTGTTTGTATTTACGTTTTGGTGAGTATGTTAAAATTAGTAATTACTTCTTCAAACACAAAAATATTCCTTGAAATTCTGATACAGCGATGCGAAGTTATATCGCACGTACAGCGTGCTTCGCGTCAGTGATTTCTGTCCTAACATAAAACTGTGCATTTCAGAGCGACCTGTTCTGCTCCTGAACAATATGCTTTACTATGTTTCTGATAGGCACAAGCTAAGCTATGCTACAAGCTTCACGTAGCCATGGCGGCGGGCGTGAGTGCTGCTGATGATGGACTTGTGAAATAAATAAATTAAAAGATTCAGTGATGAGTTGCTCGGTACTCGTTGAAGCGACAAGTTCTTCTAACATCGAGGACGACTTGTACACGTAAGTTTTCTATTTTCAATAAATAATCTATTACCGAATTGATCAGGATATTTTCAATTTAAGCGAATATATTTTGGTAAAGTAAAATCATTTGACGTAGGTAATGGTCTCTACGTAAAATCGATATTTGTATCAGCTGGCCTCTTCCCGCGGCCTTCGCGGTATCCTTGAAATCGTACTCAACCAATAAAAAAGCAATGCTTCATATAAATCAGTGATATTTGCGGTTGTATAGGAATCATATTACCCATACATATGGTGAGCATTGAAGCCTTCTGTTGTGACTTAATTTGGTATTTATTTTTCTACCGACTTCAAACAGGAGGAGGTGCTCAATTCGACTGTATGTTTATTTTATGTGTGTTACCTCGTTACTTTTTTCTGGGTGAACTGATTGCGATGTTTTTTTTTATTTGAAAGTTGGTGCTTTACATGTACTCCCATATAAATTTAATCAATATCTGACCAATAGTTTTTAAGTTACTCTTAATAACTTTATTGAAGTCGGTTGTACAAAATTTTCAATTTCAAATTATATTAACAAAAGAAAGAAGAACAGTTATAGTTCAACATGCATACGAGTACGCAGTGGTTAGTTATTGTGGTTATTATATTATATACCTATTTTAACATAATTGTTTAGAAATATTAAGAATGTCTTCGAGTAAAATTTATAAGCGTAAGCGGCGAGTTTGGGAAATGCGAGAATAATTTTGTAATATTCTCTCTCATATTAACAGCCCTTCTAGCAGTCCGCCGCTAGACTTGGTGCACATCCAAGAATCGAAAGAAAGCTGGCAAGTATCGCTTGGTAGATATCTTCCTGACAGCCGTATGAGAAAAAGATCGCGTGTCGCCTTTTACACGTCGTATGTGCCACAAGTAAAATCGTCAGACCAGTGATGGGTGGAACCAAAAAAAAAGTGCGAGACTGACATGTCTGCTACTGCGATCTCCGACATGTTCAAGCATGACATTTTATTGTTATTATTCCGGAAAAGTAAACATTTGGTGCACAAGGCCTGTTTCTACGCACTAACTGCAAAGTAATGTATGCGAACATTAATTTTAATTGTACATTAAAAGAAGTGTGTTATTATTTTGTTCAAATATGCGATGGTGTTCAAATATCTTACACAATCAGATATTTAATGATGACGATCGAAATAATCATCACGTTGTAGTCTCAATTTTTATATTTGTAATTTTTCATTCTATTTTGAACTTATTTACCGTTACCGTTACGTTCTATTAAAGTTCACTGCTGAACATAGGCCTCCCTCATAGATTGCCTCATGTTTATATATTATTATATTGTGGATATTTACCATAGTTGCCACGCTTGGCAAGCGGGTTGGCACCATAGCTTAGAAATATTTTTAGTCGTTATTAGATAGACATTCCTGATTTATTTCCTTTCGTCGTTTCCCATTCTCCTGACTAAGCTGGAGGCAATGGGTGTCAGAGGTACCCAACTATCTCTCTTCCGAAGCTATTTTTCAAACCGTAACCAGGCTGTCATTATCAATGGAAAAGTGAGTTCTGAACTATCCATGAATTACGGTGTCCCCCAGGGAAGCATTCTTGGCCCTACGCTTTTCTTGGTCTACATCAATGACCTCTGCTCTCTCAAAATCCCTGGCTGTAAGATTATCTCCTTTGCAGACGATACCGCGCTAACTTTCTCAGCCTGCTCCTGGAAAGATACCTTCCAACTTGCCCAATCCGGTTTAGACTTAGTCTCCCTCTGGCTCCTTACAAATCTACTCACTCTCAATTCCAAAAAAACTCAGTATATCACCTTTTCCCTTCAGAGCATTCCACTCAATGCATTTGACAATTTTCGCTTAATTGCTCATTCCCATTCTGACCTCCCCTCCTTCTCATGTAACTGTCTACCTCTTACCTCTTCGGATTCCACAAAATATTTAGGTATTATTATAGACAGTAAACTGACCTTCCAGCCCCACATCAACCTCACCGCTTGTAGACTCCGAAAACTCATGTTTGTTTTTAAAAATCTTCGCCAAGTCGCAGATCCGTGTCTGGTCAGATCAGTCTACTTAGCACTTTGTCAGTCACTTATAGTTTACTGTTTAACAACCTGGGGTGGCGCGAGTAAGTCAATACTAATCAAGTTGGAAAGAGCCCAAAGAGCGGTCCTCAAAGTCTGTACTCTGTCTGTACAGTCTTTCACAATCTAAATAATTTTGTTCCTTGGTAACTATATTAGTTTCATAACTATATTAGTTTTTAGATTGTGGAGAAAATAAAGAATTTTTATTATTATATTATTATTATTATTATTATGACACCTATCCTAAACCTACATAATGATACAGAGTAGTGGATATTCTTACACGGCCACTGCACGGTTTTATTTAGGTATTTTAAACATAATTAAAGTTTGAACCAAACTTTAATTATGATCTTAAGTTATTGAGTAAGTCGTGTACGCAGAGAGAAGTATGAGGAGATCGCTCCAAGTTAACTTAACATCTGAATTTCAACTAATCATAGAATTAAATTTCTAAAAGTGCTCCGGTGTTGCAGATATTAATAAACGGATGTTCGTTTGCTCACTTTTTGAACAACGTTAACTCCAAACACTGTTAAAAGCTATCACTGAAATGTTCTCTTGTCCTAACTTTCCCGGACCCAGTGCTACTTGTAAGCGAAGATACAGTGTCAGAGACTCAGACAAAATTGAAATCGTCGAGTCTCAAGAATCAATAATTTATATTTTGCAAAGGTTGCCAAATCCAGAGCAGATTTGATTTCATCTGGGTCTAAATAAAATATAATATTATCTGTTGAGTTACTGCATTTATATCGTATATAAACTTTTATCAGTTTTCAGATTTTATGAATGTTTGTATATATGCACTAGGTATGTTATAAAGTTCTTAGTCCCATACACTAGCGAACAGCGATAGGAACAAATTAGAAACAGGAAATTGTACGAATGGAAACAGCAATGGCTTTCCGAGCGCAATTTAAGATAGATTATTAGATTAGTCGCAGCTTCCCGCAGTTGTTTGAGTTTCACGTTTTTAACGTAAAGAAAAACGTAATAAATTTTATTAATAAATTTATTTGCTGTGTGGTGATAGCGTAAAGGAATCACCCCATTCGTCCCATGGATATCGGTAAGTGGGATGTGCCAAAATGATCTTAAGACGTCGGGCAGATGACGGTGATTTTTTGTCAAGAAATTCTCATTATCAGCTAGGAGTAAGGGAATTGGCGGCGTTTCAACGCCGTGCCCCGGAAAGCACGTAGTGCCGTTGGTCCTGAACTCTTTCCGGTCGTGTCGGATAACCATCCCATCAGACTATACTAGTAAGGGAATAAAGAGTGCGCCTGTTTTTGTATATATACTCGGATATTTCGTGTATATTACTATCCTGTGCAGAGCGCTAGTCTCTGGTGAGATTGGCCGCTGAAATTCGGTCTGGAGGACATTATTATTATTATTACTGCATTAACCCGCCAGCCATGAACAAATGGATGATGCATATGCAGGTCTTATCTATCAAAAGGCTTAAAATTTTAAATAAGCATAAATTATTCACTACGGGTAAGGGTTATTATACTACTAAAGACTACATGATTTATAATAACACCTGGGAATGAGGTGATCGCTACCATGCTGTTTCTAAATGTTTTATGCTAATTGTATAAAATGTTATATTGTAAATTTTTTTTTCTAACAACATAGATACACGTTTCTTCCCGAATCAGTGGTAAAGCTTAAAATACTTTCAATAAGTATTCTTATAATCTACATTGAATAAAAATGATTGTATTCTGTTCTGTTCTATGTAAGAATTTTTTTTTGGAGTTTATGGCCTGGTATCTAGACCTTTAGGCCAAGTCTTGAGTATTTTTATTCGGTTTATTATAATGTCTTCATAGTTCACTGCTTCACAATATGTTGATGCATCACATTGTGCAGCCCTTGGGAGATTTTGACGGCAACTTGAGCCAGCAGACAGCTGACAGTTGGCGATGGTATTTAAAGGCGCCTATGCAGACAATCAGCTTATCTTGAGAATCCATCACCATCAGAGCACTTGTTTCACCGTTTCCACTAATAGTTCACATGCGTAGACAGTTAATACATAAAATCGCACCACTTTTACATATCAAAATCCACTTCAAATCATTATTTAAACTATAATACAGGAGCAGCAAACCGCCGCAGGTCAAGTTCCCGCCAAAACTCTCTATGTACATTGAGATAAATTTAATACATCTATCGTTTTGTTTTTACTTATTGACATGCATTTCACAGTCGAGAACAAACAAAATAGATTTAATTGAAAGCAAGTATCGTATAAATAATCATAGCTGTTGCGTGTCAAAAATTTTTCTCAAATGGTTCAATTAAAATGAGTAAATCAATATTGTCAGTGCGCCCTCCCGTACTCCGTCATAATTTTGTTGGTGGGACATTTGTTAATATAATGGGGCACCGGCGCGCGGTACTGGCGGCAAGTAATGCATAAGAGATTTTCGTCAATTTACTTTACAATTCAGATGGGCCGGCTCACGCCCGCCCCAACTCGTTGCTGTCTCAAAAAAAACTCTACAAAAACTGCTGTTTCGACCTTGGAAGTACAGAATTCCCAATAACCTAGTGGCCGAATTTATAACAAATGAATATCTCGTGGAGACGTATCTATCGTGATTTACTTCCTGTTTCTGTGAGGCTTTCCTATATTAAATAGTAAAACACCACTATACTATTCTCTACTGATACGAACTGCACAATGTGTTTTGGGGAGTGTAATCCTTCTTTAATAGAAATGTCACGAATAAAGAAAATGTAGCGTCTGTTTCCGCTTCTGCAGTGAAGTGTCGGTTACACTCAGGATATTGTTAAAACCTCAGCAGAGATAATTTTAGTTTGCCTCTGGTAACATTAATAATGTACGTTAGTGAGGAGTTCGACGACTACCGGCGAATACGTTGCGCTTGCCTGTGTACTAAGTTGT